CTGGCGGCCCAGATGCCGCAGCCCAGTGTGGAGGGATCACGCAGTGTTTGCCAACACAGGTACGGCTGCAGCTGCTTATTATTGCGGAAGCTGAGATGCACTCGGAGGGCAGCGTGTGGCCGCCCGGCTCTGCTGGCAGCAGAGGTGGTGCACCTACCATTTCCAGCCCTCGTAAGGAGGAACAGTGCCCTGGGGAGGGAAGGAAAGGGGGGAGGAGGGCTCTTCAGAAATGGCAAGAAGGCGTCCAGCTTTCCGTGTCCCAGACTGAACTTTCTGCAGAAAAGTTATGATCTGCAGTCTTCTGGCCTCCTAAATCAAGAGGCAGGTGCAGGCAGGGTCTCCATGAGTTGCCCCAGAAACAGCTGCCAAAGGGGCAGAGACCCAGAGTTCATGTGGAACGAACTCCAAGAGCAGCCTGCACTCAGGATAACACACTAGTAACACTTCAACCAACACAGCCCACAGGCCTCCCCCAGCCCAGAGGGCCAGGAAGAGGCTTGCAAGGAAGTGCGAGGGCAGAATCACTCCGGGGAGTAACACCGGCTTTTCCGGAGCAGCATTCAGCAGAGCTGCACATCACTCCAAAACGGAGGAGAGGGGCAGCTCTGCAGGCCCCTTGGAAAAGCAGAGCTACCGTGGAGCACGAGGGGCTACGGGACTGCGTGGGCTGCTGGGGTCTACATCATCTGCAGGTAAGATAGAGAATAAGCTAGGAGTGAAATGCTGGAAGAGATGAAGTCCATGGTGGGTCTGAAGTGCTGTCCAGAAAGGCAGGGCCAGAAGGTGGGAGGTAACGGCATTGCTAGGTGTTGGGCTGTGGGAGAGTGCAGAGTGCAGCATGGCTGGAGACAGGAGTAACGCAGGGCATAGAGCAACAGTGACAGGGCAAGGAGGACCTGTGGCCTGACCATTGGCGCAGAACTTGCACCAGTGAGCCGGGCTGGGGAGAGGAGGGCGCTGGGGAGGGATTGCAGCGTGCCAAGCCAGGGGAGCAGGGTAGCCAGGCAGCGTGGGTGGCAAGACAACCCACCAGCGGTGCAGAGGTTTGGCAAAGAAGAGCCACAATGTGCAGAAACAAAGCATGCTCTAGCTGATGACGCCCTGAGGGGCACATCTGCCTACTGGTGCCCACGGAGGCCAGGCACGACACTGCGAACGGCCCTTGGGGGTGGGGCTAAAATGGAGAGCTGGAGTCCAAGGATGGAGCATGAGAATGAGCAATGGGGCAACCGGGAAAGCTCAGGTGCGCAGGCATAGCTCTACAAGTGCGTGGGCCAGTAGCGGATGTAAATGCCAGACAGACCCAGCAAATGACATTACTGGCCTACAAACAAAAGGGCACAGGATTCCCATGGCACAATGTAGGCTGGAAATGAGCATTTCTGCATCAGTGTGAAGCTCTAGAGCAACCTCCTAAAAGAAGCATTAGGAACAAACAGCCAAACTAACTTTTAAGAGACCTTAATGCTTACAAGGTTTATGAAAGAGACTGTATGGCACAAATCCTGGGACATGACTTGATGGTGCAGCGAGGCCCTTCCAGGCCCAGTCTCCTTGGTAGGCTGCAAGCTACATTGCAGGCATGGACTATGCTGCAGCTGAATTGGTATGTGGCATCACAAAAGAGTCTGCATGCTCATGGGCTTCTGGAGGACATGGCAGTGCTGCCTCATCAGGCATGAAGCTGAAGAAGCAGCAGCAGCAGCAGTCTGAAGAGAGACACAAGGGATTTAGGACATGATGTACAGTGAGCCTGGGTTTACGGCACTGTGTCTATGAATTGGTTGTGCATCCAGGTACTATGAAGCACATGGGAGGTGAGAACAGGAGCAGGACAAGGGGACCGCACGGAGCAGGTGGGTCTTTGGAGAGCGGATGAAGAAGCACGCGTGGTGCCCGGGAATACGAGTGCAGCAGAGGCAGCGTTTGCATGCACGCCTTCGCTGTGCTGGCAGGGCACTGCAACACTGCACAGGAGGTGCCTCTGGTGCGGGACTGTCCCCTCTGTGGATGATTAGCATGCCAGCAAGGTTTTGCAACCAGAAATTACCAATTCATGCCCGTGTGGGCAAAGGAGTTGGAACCTGGGCAATGGAGAATGAAGTGAGCTGTGAGAAACTTGAGTGTTGTGGAGGAGGGAATAGTTCGACATGTTTCTGTGAGTGCTGTTGGCTTTGGGAGAAAGCACGTAGAAGCCATAAGGGCAGATATGTGGGGCTATGGCTGACGTATGAAGGGTGTCTGGAGACAGGGATCAGTGGGGCAAATGCAGATGGAGCTGGGGTACGAGGTGGAGGGCTGAGGAGAATGACTGATTATGGGCGTTGGGTCAGGCACAGGGGGCAGGAGCAAGGCTATGGTTTGTGGTGTCCAGTTCCAGGTATGGAGTCATGCAATGACACAGCAATTGCGTTGGCACATACAGGAGGGCCGTGGAGGAGAACGCTGATGGGAAGGGATGGCAAACCTGGTGAATGAGGAAGTGGTTTTGGCAGATGCAATGGTTGCTATTATAATTAGGATGCCCCTTGGCTCACCAGGTTATTGGATGTGAGGCCTGGAGTATCCTAAGGTATCTACAGCAGGATTTTTGCTTGCAGAATAAGAAAGTACAGGTTGAAACCCCCTCTTGCCTTCCCCATGCGACTGTCCCAGCTGCGAGCGCTGGGATGTAGCCTGGGGAGGGGAAGAAGCGCCGTGAACGCACAGAATTCAGCGGTTTCCAGAGAGCTCTGGATAGAGCTATTTTGGGCACAGGGCGGGTTTGCCTCTCGGTGCCCAGCAAGAGAGCTCAGGGAAAAGGAGACAGCACCACAGCCCGTCAGGATCTGTCCCAAAGGGGGCCTGAGCCTGGTGCTCACACGCAGGAGAAGGGGCTGCAGCCCCAACCCTTAGCCTGTGCCTTTTCACTGGCTGAAGGTTGTAAAGGTTCGGAGATGTGTGAGGGTCAGAAGGAACCTCCTTGTCCTTCCCTCTAGCACCAGAAGAGTTAATGCCTTCATGGGGGACTCAGCTTTTTGGGAACACCAGTCACCAAGCCATCCCCTCCTGAGCTGGCCAGGGCTGTGCCCCGGCCACCCCTGAGCCTGGGAACGGTGATGCTATGGGGACAGTGCGGCAAGGAGAGGAGCACACAAGGGCACCAAGGGGGCAAGGAGACCACGTGGGGGGATGGAGAATCTGCCTCCTCCAGCCTTCTGCCTCCCCCAGCCACAGCCCCGCTGGGGCTGGCATGGGGGTGCTCCAACTTTTCCAAAGCTGTGTCACAGCTCTGCAAGCCCTGCTGTGCTCTGGTGACCCTGCGGCCAGCCTGCTGCCGCGTTGCCTTCCTGGCCCTTGGCTGACAGGGCTCCTCAGAAAAGTGGATCAGGAGAACACCCCAGCCCAGGCCCAGGATCTGCAGCAAGGGCGCGATGCTGCCTTCGCTGCCTTCCCTGCCCGGCTCCCCTGCGTGCTGCTCCGCCGGGCGCAGGCCAAGCTGAGCCTTCGCGCCGGGTGCCTGGGTGCGAGCCCGGCCACCCGTGCTCAAGTCTGCACAGCACTTCGCCAGCCACATTGCGGTGTAAGCGCTAAGTATGACGGTGGTTATTACTCCCCAGGACTGGAGGCAGGAGAAAGACCTGATGCCATGGGAGCCCCGTGCCTGCCAGAGGCGCAGGGTGTCTGCAGTGTAGTGGAAGCTCTCCAGCTCCATGCGTCTCTGCCTGGTGGGGATGGAAGACTTGGTGTGTCCCAAAAACCAAGTTTTATTTTGTGTTTCTAAATCTTTAAAATTCAGAGTGTCTGAAAGGAGCTGTTGGTTTTTAAAAAGACTTTAACATTCATTCAGTCAGTCACTAAAAACTCCCATGAGTCACGAGCGTCTCAGGGAAGGGGTGCAGGCACCACCTCATCAGCATCTCAACAAGTCTAGAGATATATAGATTTAGTAAAATTATAACAAAATCAGGTGGCTATAGCTATAGATATAGATATATAGATATTTGCTCTCTCTTTTCAAATATATAGCTGATTAAAAAGATGCAAAATAAGGATGACTAGGACGGAGTGGGAATCCTGTAGTTCAGTATCGTCTCTTGCAGATCATCAGCTGCTCTCTATATAAATGCACGGAGATTATATATTATCCATCAATGTGTCCCCCTTGGAAACAAGACCCCAAACCAAGAGGAAATAAAACACCTCCCCCACCCCCCCCACCCCTTTGAACATTGGCAAAGCAGTTTCTGCTGGATTCCCCACCAGCCTCCCTCTGACATCCCCCAAACATGCTTCTATCCATGCGGTTTCAGTCCCTCTCTCATCAGGGCAAACCAAGGGCAACAGGGCAGAGGAGCACAGAGTCCAAAGGCTAGTCTCTCGCAAGGTTAGCACAGTCTTGCTTTCATGGCAACGGGCTTGCTCCTCTCTGCGGCGGCTCCGCCAGAGGAGCCGAAGGAGAGGGTCTACCCGGGGACGAGCGGCTACTGCAGGAGGGAGCAGGTCTGGCGTCACTGCGGGTGTCGTTCCCAGCCCCTTATCTGAGAAGAGCCCTTCCATGGAGACCTCCGAGCCGGAGCCCTTCCCTGGCCGAGCGCCCAGGGCACCACCAGGCTCTCCGGTAGCTGCCCCTGGTCCCAGCAGCAACAGCCTGCGGGCCGGGCAGCCCGAGCGATGGCCCTGCTCTGCCTCCTGCAGCAGCCCCCCTCTCCGGGCCCTGCCTCCACTGTGCCCCACCACGCACCTCCGCGAAGCAGCCCGAACCGCTCGGGACTCCTCACCGGGGCCACCCGGACCTGCCCGGGACGTGGCCTGGCAGCACGCTCTTGGCCCGCTACACTCCCTGCCTCAGCACGCAAACCAGCACCTCATGCCTTTCAAACAAGCCCTCTTCGAGGGACCTGTGAAATGTGGTCACGGTTGGCTCACAGAAAAACCAAAGCAGAGCCCCTTCGCTAAGAAACCCTTCCCTACA